CCCTGACCTCAACAGTAACTATAGCAACCCTAACCACCACAGTAACTATAGCAACCTATACCCCACAGTAACTATAGCAACCTATACCCCACAGTAACTATAGCAACCTATACCCCACAGTAACTATAGCAACCTATACCCCACAGTAACTATAGCGACCCTTACCTTAACATTAATAGCAATCCTGACCTCCACAGTAACTATAGCAACCCATACCCCCACAGTAACTATAGCAACCCATACCCCCACAGTAACTATAGCAACCCATACCCCCACAGTAACTATAGCAACCCATACCCCCACAGTAACTATAGCAACCCATACCCCCACAGTAACTATAGCAACCCATACCCCCACAGTAACTATAGCAACTCATACCCCACAGTAACTATAGCAACCCATACCCCCACAGTAACTATAGCGACCCTTACCTTAACAGTAATCCTGACCTCTACAGAAACAATAGCAACCCATACCCCACAGTAACTATAGCAACCCATACCCCCACAGTAACTATAGCAACCCATACCCCACAGTAACTATAGCAACCCATACCCCACAGTAACTATAGCAACCCATACCCCCACAGTAACTATAGCAACCCATACCCACAGTAACTATAGCAACCCATACATACCACCACTGTAACTATAGCAACCCACACCACCACAGTAACTATAGCAACCCATACCACCACAATAACTATAACTTATAATTTTCACTATTTTAAATATGAATGCGTACATTTTTTGAAAGTTTTAGTGCATCATTGGAAAAATTGGTCTTTGCTTAGGCTTCCACCCCTTCTATCTAATTAACACTCCCATTCAAACAAAATGTACAGCAGTCTCAAATTCAAATAATTTAATGATCCAGTTTTCATACTTTAAACAACTTAAGCTCCCAAGACACTGGCGCCTCAAAGAAAATTGATAAAGCAGCTAAGACAAACTAAGACTCACTGTATCGGATCCTGGTGTCCATCCAGCAGGACATACTTCCCCATGTTTTTCTACAAACTGGAAAGCTTTCACAAGTCGCAGTACTTCATCTACTGATCTTCCTACTGGCAAATCGTTAACGCTAAGATGACGCACGATACCTTCAGGATCGATGATAAATAATCCACTGCAAAGAAGGAGTATAAAAGTTATTAATTAGTTGAACATTCTATGTTTGAAGTTTAATCTTCGTGGAACCAATCATTAGTGAGGAAGCCCTCAGAAATTAGCATAAAGCTACAATTGCATTCTGGGTAGCTCACTCAGCACAACAAAAAACAAGCAAAGAATGTGAGCTGACACTGGTCCTACTGATTATAATACTACCAATATATAGATATATATTGAAGCAAATATAAAGATTGGATTAAAATTTTGATGGAAACGGACAAGTAATACAGACAATTGTGTCCCAAAATACTATGGTGCATTCTCAAGGATTTGATAAGCTCCCATTTAAAAGCATCATCTGAATTGCAAGGTTTTGCGAACTTGATCGTTAATATACTCCCCAATGAACCAGCGTGTGATTCTCATAATTGACCTCCATAAAATGCATAGATCTGACTAGGCATGCCTCTAATGCATTCACCCAATCAGATTTGCATAGCTTTATGGCAATGGAAATTCAAAAGAGGGCACACTTTAAAAACTTGCTGTAAAATCTGTATAAAATGGTACAATGCAACAGAGGGGATGCGGCTTCAATTAGAGAATCTACACAAATAAAATGATGAATTATTGATTCTCAATTATTCAAAAAGAATGGGTGCGACTTCTATTAGAGATGCGGCTTCTAATACAGATTTTACGGTACTTTATATAGCGGTAAGGCGATGACCAAATAAACAGACCTTGGCTGGCAAAGATGCTTTGAAAATGTAGCAGAGGAAGCAAGATATCATATTTACCGAAGTGCAATGCCAGCATCCTGTAACAATACGTTGTATTCCTGAGAAACTTTTTTATTAAAGTCGGCCAGTAAAGGAATCTTCATTTCACCCAGACCACCAGTCTGAAAACACATAATAGTAACATTTACGACCATTCACACTCACACTGGGGATTATTAGGTTGAGTATACTTTACTACCTGTATGTATTACAGAAACATGTTACCTTGTTTTATTACCATGGTTAATTTAAGTATTTTGTTACCATAGTGATTACCGTAAAAACTCAATTAATTCGCGGTAGTAAAAATAATTATTTTTTCAAGTGCACGAATTAATAGCGTAAAAACGGAAATTATTGGTTTTTGGTGCGCGAATTAAAAGAGTACTTTTCGATCGATTCAAAAAGGAGCTGTTTTCATAAATTTATTAGTGATTTGTTTTGTTTTCCAATGAACACGATTACAGGACGTTTTTTAGTGCCTCTGAGACTCACATGGCTAGCGCGACATTCATGGCGTATAGTCTGGCACCATGTTACACTTGAAATGAAACAGTGAAATGGCAAAGGTCACTCTGTACACAAACAAACAATGAACACGTGGCTACAAAGTAGCCGTCTGGCTGCACTGCTTTTTTTAATTTTTCTAGGCATCGCCTGGACGATGTTATGGCAGATATTACGAAGCCCATCTTGTCGGGAAAAATAACCCTGCGTTGATAAAAATGGTCTCAGAAAATGTTTAGAAAAAATAATGTTTCGCGTTGACCAAATATAATCATGCAAAGTATAAATTCAAAGTGTTTTAATACATTAGTGAGAGGTTGCATCACTAAGAAGGAAAAGCAAGCCAAAGTCGAAACGGGGTGCATCATGGACATGACACAGCACACGCTGCGACAACTGAGTGATCAGCGACATCGTTTTGGGACGCAATTGAACTTCAAGTACTTTTTTGCAAAATTTGTTGTGCGGCGATGCTGACATCAAGTGTGTGTTAACCGAAGTTTGACCCCAAGTCACGCACTGAACTGGCGCGTTACCTGAGCAACCTTTTTTTCTTTCGTGCCCCGCGCGTCAAAATAGTAAAATTGTTATTATATCCGAAGGTACTGTAATTACGCAACTTGTATGCAACTCTGTACTGGCTTGAATATATCAACTTGAACGTAGTTTACTTAGTGCACTGTTTTTCTAATTACGCAAATTTGTGCTCCGGCTCTGTACTTCGTTATGTATTGCTTTCATTATAATTAGTTTTTTTTTAACTATTGTTAGGGCACTGACCCGGGGTATTGAGTCTGTGAATATTTCTATATCACCGACTTGATAATGCGTTGCATTCATAATAATTACGCAAACATAAATATACCATACGTCAAATTAAATTTTACTATAATATAATAAACTTTGGGCAGCCGATTTCGATCGCATTATTCACGTACATTTTGACTGAACTCTAATAACCACGCGTTTGGTTCGTGCACTGATATTTAAATTCGAGCCACCCAGCTTGACGCAAATCAATATAGTTACTTGTCATTTGTTCGAAAAATCTTTTAACTCTCACAAATACCATAGACGCGAAGAGTTAACTGGGGGTTAAATGAAAGGGAACGTCTTTCTTGGACAAAAAACACACCAGTACAAGATTATGTGTGCAAGCACAGTCCCTCCATAGAAGGACTGTGGTGCAAGGTTAGATTTATAGAAGGTACATGACCGCTTAACTCTGTGTTTTTTACCGAATCCGGTATAATGAAAATGTAACACCAGGTCAATCGCCCACACCAATAAAAAATGTCAATTTACGCACCATAGGGCGGTTCACTTAAATGACGTAATAGAATAATGGCGGGCACATGGTCGATGCAACCCTGTGGACCAGCGACGAAAAAGCCCCGTACTAAGCTTTCCATCACGGAAATTCGTAATCGATGTGCTGACCGATGGATATTTATCGACTATGTAATAATCTTGCCCAACATCTGTAGTGTCGTGGGGGAATGATTTTTTTCACGTCAAATCTTTACCGAACCTAAACTGCTTGCTGACTGAAAGGCTGTGATGACGGAGATCATCTG